GTGGGGTTCCCTGCGGCGCGGGGTGTCCGGGGAGGACCGCGGGGTGCAGGGCGCGCCGAGGAGCGCGGAGCGCGGAGCGCAGGGTCGGACCCAGCGGCCCCGGGGGGACGGCCAGCTCGGCGGCCGAGGGCTCCTCCCTGCGGGGCCGCGGGCCGCGCTCTCGCCAGCGCCGGGAGGTGGGGCACCGCCTGGCTCTTTGCAAAGCTGCCTGCACGGTCAGCTCTACGCGGGGAGCTGCAAAGAGAGGCGCCCGAGGGCTTAGCAAAAGGCGTCTTGCGGGGTCACAGAGAAGATGAAAAGGCGCAGGTTTTGCATGTCTTCAGCCCTCGGGTGGGAACCCCAACCTGGTAGTTCGAATCCACTGCAACAGAAAAGGGAAAGCAGTCTGCATCTGTGAAGATGGACAGCCTTTGGAAAAAATAAACCATGGGGCAGTTCTGCTCGGTCCTCTGGGGTCATTCTGAGTCACAATCGACTCCGTGGCAGGAGGTTTCGTTTCTTAGTTTTTCTTTTTTTTTTTTTTTGTTTCCCCTGGATGAGAGTCCGTGCGGGGTGTCTCTGCTGCTCACAGAAACCTTAGCAATTGCGTCCGCCCAGAGGCGCCTCGGAAGAAAGCCTGGGAGCTGCTTCCAAAATATCAGCCGCTGCAAAGCCCTGGAAGCACAGTTTTTACGCATGTGGTCGTCAGGAGTCAGGGTCCACTATTGCACCTCCCTCCCATCCCCGTAGGGTGGCGTAGTGTTAGCTGTCAACTCATGTAGAACCGAACCTAAAGGACAATGCCTGCTTCTCTGTGCTGTTTCCTTTTCACGAACATGTCTATTTTGACACACACTTGGTTCAAGGGCCGACACAGACCCACAAAGACGAAGGCATTGCCATTGCATGAAAAATGTAATCCTCTCTGAGGTCCCGATGAAGGAGCTGGCATAATCTACTTAAGCATTCCCAGCATTTTGGGACCTCGCTGAGGTTCGTCTTTGCCTAAGGATATTGCACTGGGCTGTTGCGTTATCTTTTATTTAAGGCAGATTGGGCAGGGGTTCCCCTCCCGACCCTCACAGGGCCCCACATCAACCAGGAGTCTGACACAGCAAAAGGAAAGAGACTCGCACAACGGAGGGAACTCA